CTCACATACGTGAATCCTGATACTTCCAAAACAGCAGGAAAGTATGAGAAGGGTAGCACAACCAATATAATAGGAGAAAGATAGAAGCCAGTCAAAAGACTATAGAAAAAACACCATAGTGCCAAAGATGAAGTTCACAAGAAAAAAAAAAACAACACACACACTCTGTCTTTGTGTGGAGACCAAGGAAGACAACTGAAAAGGTACCTTTAAATTTATAACCCAGCTTCAGCAAAACCATTTGAAATAGTTGCACTAATAGTGATGCAAAAGATGCTGCAGCATGTTTGACCAATCGCAGAATCTTACTCGTGTAGAAATAGGTTCCTCCTATTGAAAAAAATTGTGAATACAAATTATTCACCTATATAAAGATGTATTTCTACTCTCTGGTGACCATTAGCTTGTAGAAGAGTGAGAACAAAGTATGGAAAGCCTTTGTTTAGCTACAAGCATGAAACTTAAGCAAGCGTGGTTTGAAAAGTCTGGATGCACTAGATATCACAGCAAGGCTTTTGTAGGAACTACACTTCCTGGAGAAAATGCCCTCAAGATAGATTGTATGACTTCAAGAATACCTTTTATTTGCGAGAATTAAGTACTCTAAATAGCAATGAATTCCTTGCTTACAGAACTCAGGATTTCTCAATAACGTGAGTTGTTCATACTGATTTGTGGATCACAGGTCCAACAAGAGAAACTACATTCTTATTCTGGATTTGAAAGGGTGAAGACTTCTCACCTTCTTTTCTCCACCTTTTACACTGGAGGAAGTTACTGCAGTGGTCTGCCTCAAATGCTAAATACACACTTCTTCAGAGACAATGGAACAAAACTGCAGTCCCTCATACTGCTGCTTTCCTAGAAACAGCCACATTCCAAAAGCCTGTGATGATTTCCCTCACCCTCCCCAAATTTAACCCAAACTACTAGATTAAAGTTCAAAGGAATGTAAAGATGAGTTCCTTGTAAAATTCTCCTGTGTGAATACAAACTCAGGAGCACAGAAAACAGTTTTCCTACAGTGTCACTTAGTTCATTACGCTAAGCCAACTGAATTCCTACCTGTTCTACACATTTACCAAAAAGCAATACTTGCCTCAAAGTATTTCAAGTCGCACCTTACAGTCCAAGGTGATTTCTTGCTACTGAAAACATTATTCAAGAATAAAAAAACCTACAGAATTTCAAAACTGGTTCTTTTCTAATTCAAGGCCACTCAAGAAAACATTGTAACAACTGAGGACTACCAACAATGAAGAAATTCAAGATACTAAGCAAGAAGCAGGCAGACACAGTCAAGACAATGAGGACAACCATCCATAGAATGGAGATTGCCTTAGAAAGGCAGAACCTTGTTTACAGCAGATTCATTTGGTTTTGAGCTTTAGGAACACAGTCACTAGGAAGTCTATTTGGAACCAGGTTTTCCCTTTGAAGTTCAATTTTTCAAGTAGTTGAGGTTTAGCTTCTAAAAACACTCTAATAAGCTGCAGGGTTAAGTGAGGAGAAAAAAAATAAAGCAGAAAGTAGGAAGGTATCTCAGATTTCTTGGATAACAGAAGCACTGCAAAGTAACAACACTGCTCAATCTTGAAAGTTCCTGTAAGAAAAAAAAAAAATAAATAAACTGGACCATGTAGAAAAAATTTCTATCTGAAAAACCTGACCAAAAACCTTGTTAACAGACACATATAGATGCGATAGCAGGTTAGGAGACTTATGATTGTTGCTGGTTGGAACAGCCCATTGTGTCCCCAATGAGTTTGGAAATATAACTTGTTAAGATACCATGGCACTGTAATTTTGAAATTGTTAAATCGCCACTACAGCATTAAAAAAAAAAAGTTGATAATTATGTATTAGAAGCTTACAGTATTTCCTAAGTTGATCTCCATAATTTAGTTATTGGTAAATTTAGCAGGGTAGGAAAAGTGCTTAAATAACACTATGTGGAAAATGCGTCAACTACTGCAAGGGAAAGTAACTTACTGGATGCATGTTTCTGGCTCCTATCCCTAGAGTAAATTCTAGAGGATGGCACGTGAGAAGCTGAGTACGCTGTAAGAACCTCCTTCCGTTCGGAAAGCATGCTGCAGTCACTACAAGTGTAGCCGTTGATCATCGTGGTCTGCGTTTCTGCTGTTATATCACCATTTCGCTGCATCAGTGTAGTATCACTACCTAGCAAATCAAGAGTAAAACAATTAGTGTATTGACATCAATACTTCCATTACTAGTTACCACTAACTAGAATGCATGTGGAAGGAAAAGGAAAGTGTAGTTACCTTTAGGGTCACCTTCATCATCAAGACCTTCAAAGTAAAAAAAAAGTAAAAATTTTGTAAGGCCTTCCCATAATCAACTATAATACCCGATGTGAACTCAAATTAAAAGTCCCACTAATTTTAAGACTTCAAAGAAAAGCCACTTTATGTTTAGTATTTAACATATTTTACAGTCCACCACAAGAATAGATCCATATATTCAGAAATTAATGTAGTAGGGTAACAGTTAGTGAAAAGCATTCTACCACAGAAGTGGCAGACAGAATAGTATGAATGACAACTACATCTCTTCTTAGCTCCCATGTGACTGCAAAGCAGCTAATTACAACCTTACACTGTTTCTGTTGCTTGGTAACTACTTTAGTACTACTGTATTGTAACATTCTGTTTTAAGAGAGGTAATCTAAAGTTTACAACACGTTCTACTAAGACTGAAACAATTCTTTACATTAAGACTCTGGGAAGATCATGAGCATACTGACTAGAAACAAAGTCTGAATTAGGAGATACAATAAATTGCTGATCATCTACACAACAATTTACATACACAATACTTTGTGTAGAAAACTCTCATATCTTCCTCTTCAGTGAAAAATAGTAGTTGTAGAAAAGCATACTTGTAAATACTTGCAAAAAGAAACCAGCCAGCCACACACAAAAACACTCTCTAGGAAATCTTGAAGTGTCACTGATTTGAAACCTTCAGATTAAGGTATGTTAAATTGAAACACACTTCTGCCTAGAAACAAGAAAATGCTTTTTTTCCTTTGGCTTTTCAAAGACAAGTTAAACATTTACCATTCTTTAAATACGGTACTTTATGCGCATTTTGAAGAAAGTAATGATAACAGATAATTACATCCATACAATCTATGGTGTTGCATCACAAAATCGTATACATTTTCCTGGTATAATAACCTGACTGTGCAACATGTCCTGATGTTTACTATGCCAGTGAAGCAAGTTTACACACTGGACTGTGAATTTCCAGTAGGCATCTTAGCAAGCAGACATCTACAGCAAAAGAGTAAGTACATGCACAGATTTGAGGGCAGGATGAAAAAATGGGTAGGGAAAAGAGGGAAGATGTGGATATATGTTTACATACACCAAACCAGAAGCAGTTTTCAGAGTCTGTTATGAGTAACAGCAATGATTACCTACCCCAGAAATGATCAACTTCTGTCTGCTCTCGAATCAAAGATTCATCTAATACAGTGGATGACATTGATGCATCACTGGCATGGCTATTGAAACTGCTTTGGCTAAACATGGAAGAGCTGGGTAGATTTTTCCTTGGCGTGTGTCTTACGCTACCAGATTGTTTATTCATACTTTTGCATTGCTTCATCAACCTAGGAAACAAAGCAAAGATGAGGAAGACTGCACTGAAGATGCAAATTTCTCTTCATCTCTCATTTTAAATGAAAACAAACAAAACACCAACAAACCCCAAGCAAACAGATGACAACAACAAAAAAAGAAAAAAACCACACCAACCAACCAAACATGTTGACCAAACTTTTAAGGTGTTTTGACACTGACATAACTAGACAGCTCAAATCAGGTTTAAAAGAAATTCCTCACATTTAAGCACCTATACTTATGCAAAGACTTCATTGACAACCACACACTGAATTTAATTTTCAAAGTATGGCAGTAATCATTAAGAACAGAGTAAAACAGTAGGTAACCTCTGTTTGCACTATTGTGTTCAAACAGGAAGCCTCAAAACTCCAACCAATAAATTAACTTGTGATGATAAATGCTTACCTAGAAGACTGTTCTCTGAAGGATGTGCTTCCGGCATAAGAGCTGTCATGATCATTTTGTGCATCATCTGATTTATTAAATCCTGCAGCAGCTAACCGTAAACTACGCCGTGACATTCTTGGTGAATCAAATACTGGATCTATTTTGTTTGCAGTCTCAAAATCCAAAGCAGATGAAGAGTAACTTGAACTGCAGCAAAATGAGAACAGTGAAGTTACTAGAGTTCAAGAGAAAATTCCCCTAGTAACAAACATGCCCTTCAAGTTAGTTTAAGTTTCCATTAAAAGCAGTTTATCCAGGGTTATAGAGCAATTCCCACAAGATATGCCACGTAAGCCAAATAACTTAGAAGCATGTAGATATTCAAGGTTCTCTTAAGCAATTCATATTACAAGTTTAACAGCTGAAAGCAAATCACAGTTAGAAAGAAACAACCACCATGGAGACCATGTTTGAAGTTGAGCCAGAACAAGCAGTTGTTCTACAGCCTCAGACACACAGTTCTTCTGGGACCAATCTGTGAGAAGAAGCCATTCATGACAGTTTCTTCACCACTTCTAGCAGCAAATTAAAAATTCATGATGCACTCTTAAGTTACAAGGTAAAGATTCATTTATAGTCAAAGTTTATTTTTTAAATTTTTTGTTCGCCAAATCCTTGTTTTGAGAACCAAAGATCCGTACGGCACACTACTCTGAAATTCCATCTTCCAACAAGTAGCAACTTACCCCCTTCAAGGTACTTAAAAGGCTTCCCTACTTTAGCTACATTAGTTTAACTACCAATACTTTAAATGTGCTTTTAAAATATTTATTAATTTAATGCATATCATCAGAAATATTTAACTCTGAACAAATAAAAATTGTTTAGAGTCTTTCATCCATTTCTCTCTGTTTTATCCTACAGAAACAAGTTTCTACGTAGACAAGCGCTGCATCATTACCCCAGAAACTCTACTCCATACTTTTACATTTGATTCTCTCAGAATCTCCATGAAAACCTACAATGAAGACAAAGTGGCAACATAACACAAAGAGATGAAAACAGGAGTTGGTAAGAAATACATTTACTAGAACAGAAGTTTAGCCTAAAGCAGATTACTCAAAGGAAACATTCAGTCATGTAACTGAGCAGAGCCTGTTGTCAGAGGGTACTGAGCAGCAGGATGCCAGGTTCTAGAACCACTCAGCACTGTGATCAAAAGTATCTAAACACTCAGTGCTCTAGGCCAGCCTCCCTAGAGTGTTTATTCCCTCTTGGGCCACAGCGATATATGGAGCTGTAACAGCCATTACTTGAATATTCCTGGGGGTTTTGTTTGGTTTTTAACAGAAGAGCTGAGCAAGGTATTGTTAACTAAAGGAGCTCCTTCTCCCCAGAATACCAGAAAAACGCAAGCAAGCAAATTAGATCTGAATAAGTAGATTCTACTGTGCAATCAGTATTTGAAATGGAAGCTTTCCCTTTAAAAAAATACATATAAACAGCTACTATAATATGTATTTGTATAAAAACAATTTAATGGAAATATTTTTTTTTTACAGAATCATTAAAGATCCCAGAATGTTACAAGGTAATAATATATGTATTGTATTACTTTGGCATACAAGTTGACATCAGAAGGCCTATTAGCTTGTTACAGTAGTGATTTAATTCTGACAAGGTGGGTGCTTTTGAAGCAGGTTTCTTGATTGCTCCACAATGCAAAGTGAAGCACATAAAATGGGACTGTGTCAGAGCGCATGAACTGCATTTTCTTTAGCTAGAAAAACTTAACCCAGACAATGACCTGCAGGAAAACACCTAGTTGCTCCAGCAAATGGTCATTTAGCCCCCATGATCAGACCACAGCTTGTCCAAAATAACAGCAGTCACCCAAAGGTGCACAGATTTGATGTCAGGTCTTTGGCACTACCTGCTTGATCTCACTGGCCTGCCCCGCTATCGCTGCCACATGCAGTGCAACCCTGTGCAAGGCAGAAGTCTAAGCACAGCTTAAGACAAACCCAGCATCCGTTACTATATACATTATGCTTATTAATCCTTGCTTACATTTGGGTGGAAGGGGGAGAGGAAGTAAGACAGGAGCCTCCTCATGTGAAAATGGATTTAGTGTACATTAGGTTAGGTACAAAAGAATGTTTTTGAAAACTAAAAATTATATAAAGCCTAGATAGCTTGCATTCTGACAGATGTGAAGTGAGAATATGGGTTAACATAGCTCCTCCTCTTGTTCATTCTGAAAGGGTCAAAGCCACAATAATTTACTATTAAGTCCCCCCTAAACAGTTGTTTCAGAACTCAGATTTGCTATTTACATTTGCCATGATGCATTTGCTTTTCCTTATCTTCATGTAATGTTTCTTACAGCTACTCAATTCACAAGAACACAAAGTACACAGGACAAGCTGACAGCTGTGCCCAGCCTCAGTTTGTTTCTGTTTATGAACACTTGCTGTTATTAAGTATCTCAATGAGCATTTATATCCATTCGGGTTGAATACACAGCTTCGAGTTGGACTATACTATCTAAAAAAAAAGAAAGAAAAAAACCATGGGATCTATTGCTCTTCAAACAAAAAGAGAGCTTACTCTCTTGCTTATGCAGGATAATTCTCTTCACATAGAAAGTGAATTATCTGTCCTCTTAGCAGGACAATATCTAAAAGTCTCCTATCTTGCCATTTCGCTTTCCATCCTTTGGAAAGTGGCCTTTTTTCTTCTATAGAAGAGACTACAGTAAACAAAAAACCCTTGCCTTTCCTTTCACAGGACAGAAATGAACCTGTACATTGATAGTACTTCTGTCCAATATGTATGGCTAACCAAAAAGCATCTTGAAAGGTGGGATGCAATTAACCTACACAAACAGTCTAGACTCTGGTTCCTTTCCTGGACAAACAGCTCCCATGGCAGCTGGCAGATCTGATGACTGGATCTAGACTTTTACTTCCAGCTTCTTAGCTGTTACATTGATACCTCCCTCACATAAGCTTCTACAGAGTAACAATATCTTAATTTTCAAGTTATATACTTACAAATGGAATGAGAACAAGATCTGCCAATTTTAACACCTATAGCTTTGGTCTGAAGAACCTTAAGTGTAATTTATTTTATAAGTATTCCTTGGAATTAAATGGGCAGTAGTGTTCTTGATTATTCAAGATAATAAAAAATAAATGCAATACACTATAGCTAAACAAACATCTCTAACATGGACACAGGCATATAATCAGTATACAAACGGTCTTGTGCTTTCTGACCAGGGCATTACTACTTTAACTGCTCAAGGATACTATTTCAGTTGTTTAGCTATTGCTTTGATCAGTCCCAGAACACATATATATATAAAAAAATATTTGACTATTTTGCAGAGAAGTTACATCCTGATTTAATGCTCTGACATGGGGGGATCAAACAAAATTCTTATCAATTTAATCCATAATTGTGAAGGAAAAGAAGTGTTAAAGTGCCCAGATTGACAAAAATACCACAACTCAAAAGATGACAGTGACTAAAAGCAAAGATCAGCCTTAAAAGGGGGTGTAAATTATAAATTGACAAGTGGGTGAGATTCACAAGTTTGACTTGCATTCTGAGGAGGATAAAGGTTATTTAGCTATATCAGTTTAATGCTTTTCTGATTTGGGCTGGAGGAGTAAAAGCACAGATTAGAAGCACTACAAACACATATGAACAGAGAGTAATCCCAGTGAGTATTAATATAAATTCTAATAATAGGTCATATCCAACTCTATTAATAGCTTTGTGGTATCTAACTTCGCTATACTTCTTTCTGCAGTGCTACATGCGCATGCCAATTTCTTTAAAGAAACTCACAGACAGATTTTATAAAGATTGAACTGTCAAAGGCAGAACAAACTAAATCAAAATATAAGCAAAACAAATACAGGTGGCAGGGGGAGAGAAAGAATGAAATTCAGGATGAAAATATTTCTGGATAGCAGTTCTGCCTAACTCAGCCTTTCCTCAGATTCTTCAAATATTACTTGACCCAAGTTAGGAAGAGCTACATCAGTAATACAGGGCATTCTGCACAGGTTCAGCAAGCAGACACACAGCAGGAGTCCACTCAAAGACTGTAGTTTACTCTCTTGACACCCTGAAAACAGGCAGTGTACCAAGTAGTTTTCCCCCATTATTTTAATGTTTGGGGCTTCACAGAACTTTTACAAAGGAAATTTTAAAGAAAGTTCTTGCTAATCCCTCCTTTCTACACAAGGAAGAATTACAATTAATTTCAACCTAGTCTAACTATACTTGCCTCATTAAGACAGTTATTAAACTTCAGCTTATCTAGCTCTATTAATTTCTGAATGTCTATATCTAATACAGTTTAACACAGCAAAATGGAATGCTGAAAAGTTTTGAAAAACAATCTTCATTTATATAGAAAGTCAAGCACTCCAATTGTCTTCTACACAAAACCCAAAGTCATAATGAACTACTCTCCCGACTTCATATACTTTATCATTTTATATCATAAAATGATATCATCACTTTATCATTCTGCATATTCCTTTTCTGGCTGGTTAATTCTTGTTCCTGGGGTATTCTTGTTTGCTTTTGAGAAACAAAATTTTTATCTGACAAAATAGTGGGCAAGAAGAAAAACCCAGCTCAGAAGGGTTTTTACCCCAAATTAGTTTAAGCAAGCCATTGAACTTTACTTTGCTAATACTCTTGGAAATATATGTAATAAAAACAAAAATCTCAATTTCTTAAGTTAATACTAAGACCTACTTATTCCCTCTTGTCTGTGAAAAGATTAGTTGTTGTGGAGAAGATTGTACAGTAGAACATACTAGTATAATTTCAGACAAATGTGACAGCTAAGGAAAAGAAGTCAAATGAGATTACAATTTCACAGCTTGTTTTAAGAAATACATGCTCACATAGACATAAAAATCACTGTCTAAACCTGAAGAATCAGTCTGTTCTCATTGCTCACAGTTGGGGAAGTTACCCTCTGTAAAAGAGTTAAAATATTTCAGCCAATATCTAAGGTACATTTGCAACATAGAGCTGTCTAAAACCACTTCGTAATATAATAGTGAATCTGCTGGCTGATATAAGGCATTTAAATAATTTTTCATTGTCCAGCATATCTTTTCTTGAAATTAGTAAATCACTTGTATTTAACCAACATTTTACTAATGATTTTCTAAAATTCAGTAAGAGTTGCAAATTAATTGATACATAAAACACATCCTATTTTGCAACACTATTCACATCAGGCTATAGCCAAAAAACCCCCCATGATTCCCAACAAACCAGCAATGCTACAGTTTTAGTGTACACAAAACCAATACTATTATACACAAAAGCAAGTTAGTGATCTCCTAATTCTACAGTTTTGCCAACTTCTGTTTTCTTGGCAAGTAGCCAAGTATTCTACAAACTAAGTACTATATTTTATACATATTAACACCTAATAATGTTTTACAGGCACAGAATAGGAAAACAATCTTGTATTTCATCCTAACAAACAAATTTTTTTTTTTTTAAGCTTCAAATCAGCTACATCAATAACTTGGGTTCACTGATACATACTTGCTTCAAAATACAACTCAACAACAGCAAAAGCTAGATGGATTAAATCAGCAGCCACAATCTACTCTAATATTAAAACCACTCACATGGGCATCACAACATTTATTTTGAATACATAATACAAAAACTAGCAAAAATACTACAGAGTTCTTTTTTAGAAAACTGAAGTGACCTAAGAAGAACAGTCTAACAACAGTAAGTTTAATTAAAAAATACAAGAAAAAGCAAGTTCATTAGAATATAGATTTTACACTGACACAAGCAGCAGTTTTGGTAAAAAAGTAATCGACATAAGACTTCCAGCCAAGTTCCACACTAGCAACAAGGAGTGCATATCAATCAGTGTTTTAAAGTGAAAATGGTGCCAAGTCACAAAAGAAAACACATACAGAAGTTACAAGACATACCAGAAAACATCTAAGAATTCTGATGATGTATTTATAGAAATAAAACAGCAATTGTAACTAGGCGGAGACTAGTTATTCATAGCAACTAATAAACACTGAGTCATTATCTTAGTCATTGTCTTGTTAGTTCAAAATGTATTCTTTCCTCCATTTAGGACACAGCAGTTATTTTCAAAACAGACTAGATAAAGCATGCCTCTTCAAAGAATTCAGCTACTTACCATGAAAGCTACACTCTCCAGAATTAACAACATTCAGAGAACATACAGTTTCTCTACAAGAAGAAAAGAGTTCTCACCTGAGTGCATATGTATAGCCAGTGTTCTCTGGCAGACAATGGGGAGGAGTGTACGTGTGTAGACGTGAAAAGTCCATGTTGACTGTTTCAAATCATACTGTAAAAGGTGAAAATAAAGTAATGCAATGACTTAAAATTATGTAAAGTCAATTTAAGAGCCCTTGCATTGTTCAGCCTGTGTTACAAAGTATTGAAATAAAGAAAAAAACTGTTTCCAGAAATATGGAGCTCTCGGTATTTCTGCAGTATTGCTGCTAGTGCCAGATATCCCTTATCATTACTGCATGAAGCTCAGTGTACTCCTGACCGCAACTTTATGATACTCAGTTTTCAGCAATTTCTGACTTCTCGGGAACATTACTGTTATATGAGCCAAGCTCTTATCGCAACTATACTACAACACTTCCACAGGAACTAAGTTACGCCAGCATCCCCAAAAGCTAAGCATAAAAATTAAAAGACTACATAGCCATGCTTTCAGAGATCTCTTCACAACAAGTTTTGTTTTGAAAGCCCGAGTAAAGCACAGGCTGTTCTGTGAACCAACAAAGCCTGACACAGATGAAACTGGAGAAAGTTTTTACATATAGTCAAATCATTTTACTCTACAACCTTTGAGCACCATACACTAAGCAGCAAGGGAGTTTCCTTCATTTCACAAATCTGTAATATTTGTTAACGGTTTATTTTTTCCTGTCATAAAAAACACTGAATATACACCCTAGCAGAAGAGCCAACTGCAAAGTGACTCACACAGAATTAGGTACATTTTCCAGAGTGCCATCCACTTCCAAAAAGAAAAAAGCCAAACAAAAACCACCCAACCAACACTTGTAAAACTTTCCATGGGGTCTCTGAAATGTATTATAGATTTAGGAAGAAAATAAAAACTGATGTCATCATATCAAGAAACTTGCAGAGCTGCATGTGTGCCTACTTGTAGTATTATGTATGATTTGACTTTCAAGTTCAAAATATTTGCAAAAAATCTTGAGCCCTTCTCAGTTTTATTAGCCCCAAGAAAAGTTTTGCTCTTCTAGAAAAGATTCTACGATAGTAGATTATTCATGGTTAACAAATAGAGCTTTGGCTATCCTGGATTTGCATGGTGAGCAAAATTGAATCGTGGCTATTTTCAGATTATCTATGGCTCCTGTTTCAGCAGCAGTAAAAAAATATTCCATACAACTGTGATGACACGCCTAAACCAAGGTAAGAATATCCCTAGCTACACTTTAATTCTTATAATCAAAGCATCAAGAAGTATCTCATTTTGGGGATGCATTTTGAAATAAAGACTTTTCATTTGTATAGCTACATATACATAAGAAATAGAGACAAAAAGTAGAGTCACAGGTACGGGTAAGAGCAGCTCAAAAAGAAATCTCTACGCAGAACATTAAAATGCTCTTAGGCAGGCCACCTGTAGCCTCCAAATCCTGATGTTAATATGGCAGGAGGATATTTCCATTACTATGGAAGACATTTTCCTTCTTGTTTTTAAAAATCAGAATTCACAGGCCTTAACATTGTAGTTTTCTGAATGCGAGTCCCTCTCATGCATTTGTGGGGTTAACGGAAAGATCTCACTTTTGCTATTTACACATCATCTTTTTTAATATTATAGGGAAAGCTTTTCCATTAAGTGACCTTTCTCTACACTTCACTTGTGCCACAGCCGTAATGCTTTCACTGGCTTATATACAAGATTTGTTGTTTGTTTAGAGGAAGTTTAAATCAGTAGTGCAGAAGTATTAACAAAGCTGTCTAATTCTCTTGCTAGAATAAGCCCCAAATACCGCTCAAATACATAACAACTGCTGCCATACTTTAACAACAAATAAGAGCTCATTTTAGAACATAGGAAATGGGGACCAGAGAGTAATGATTCCCCAGTAATAAAAGTGGAAATACAGTGAATTTCAAGATGAGGGATATTGATAACATCAGATAGCACTTGTTTTAAACAGAAAAACAGATTTCTTAGACATATGCCTACTGAAATCTACAACTATGATTAAGGTTGATCTGCTTAAATTGGTCCATCCCAATAGAAAGATTTTTGACGCCACAAGGGAACCTCTGCTTAGTTTCCACTGGAGCTGATCTCAACTGCTTTGCACCCATCATTTCATCAACAAACCTAGTTTTTAGCAGGCAACTCAGTAACTGATACCATGCTTTTGACACCCAGCAGTATCTTCCCACGTGTACAGCTAGGCTATGTGAGTGCGCTTTCAGTAGCTACCCAACTCCTCCCTCTGTCTATGCTACTCATACAGGCAGGGAAAAGGCAGAACTTTTTTGGGAAAAAAAAAAAAAGCATATTGCTCAGTTTCTTTCCCATTCTTTTCCCCTTCTCCACCAGTTCTCTCTTTACTTGATTTCTGAAGAAATCACATGCTAGAAATTGCATCATATTTCTTACCTGATAAGATTCAAAATATATATCATTAAGTTAGTATTAGATAAAATATGTACTTGACAATGGCACTGCTAACTGAAAAGCCTTGAAGGTATGTATGCATAGGCCTATTAATAGCTGGTTTTCATAGCACCAAGATCTCCAGTAAAGATAACAGGTTTGCCATCTAAACACCACATAGTTAGAAATCACTTAGAAAATTCAGGGGCTCAGTTTGATTCACTTTCTGATGATCTAAAATTAATTCAGACTCAAAGGGAAAAACCTATACTCAACTTTTCAAAACAACAAAACAGGCTTAACTGACTTAAACAGAACTTGAAAAAAAACCTTCAGAGATAACCACCACAATTTTCAAAAGCAGACATCTAAAATTTACTATGAAACTGGATTTGTTTTTAAACCTGACTACTAGTTCAACAGCTTAAATTTAGTTATCCATCTCTTCGAAACAAAACCCACAAAACAAGTGATCAACCCAATCAATTTAGAAACACTGAACATACTTATTACTGCAGAACTTTAAACTACAGAACAGACCAGGGGTGGGTGGAAGACAATAACTCTAATTTGTTCATTCATGTTTAACAGCACTCCACCTTTCATATATTATTCATTCTCATTTATGAAACTTTCATATACAACTGGAACAGAAAGAAACATGCTAATAAAGTATTCTGGAAATTTAAAACCACAAAACTTGGCAGAGAACCTGAGAGGTAGACATAGTACTTAAGTTCCAGTTTAAATACTCCTGGGTGCCCAGCAGATTTCTGATCTGGGTGTCACAGATCTGTCTGCACTCAGATTCCTGTAGACTTTCAGTATAAGCTTTGTTGCAAGCATTACTGGGCCCAAACTTTAAATAGCCATTTCTCCTTCTTCAGAAGCCTGTAAGCATCTATTTCTAATAAGGTATGTACAATGAAAGAACTAAGCATGTAGTTACATAAAAAAAAAAAAATAATAAGAACACATTTATAAGACATCCTAAAGGCAATTAAAGAGAAGCACACATTTCAGTTAGAATGCAACTGGACACTCAATGCACCTCAACTTAGAAGCTAACTTCCATGTTCCTGCAGAAGAGACAGCTGGAGTGTTTGCCTTTTTGGGGAAGCAGACAACAATCATCTCAAGTATCATCTCTCCCTTGCAATTCAACTGAATCAGCATTAGAGTAAATTAACATAGTAGAAGGGCAGGAGAAGACACAGATTCTGACTTGGTAAGAACACAAGGAAGCACAGGTACTCCTGTCATCAGTGCAGCAGAATCTACCTTTGCTTAAAACCTGGCTGTCTCCAGAGGATGTGGACTAGGAATCATCTGAATGACATGAGGCTGCACCACTACCTCATAAGGCTCTTTACCTGAAAATCACTTTCAGAATCAACCAGCCCAAACAAACCCCTGGCACGGCCGCAACAAACTTCCTGGCTTTCATGGAAGGTGATGAGATAGTGGCCTTTACAGAAGGATCACAAGGGAGGGGCAGGGCAGCACCAAATACACACTGTAATACACTACAAGCACCTGACAAGGATGATCCCCCACTTATGTCTTCTAGGGTACATACACAAACTTCCACAAACACACTATCTAGGCATTTCCTCATGAACACCCTTTGTGACAAAGGAAGTGGCAAATCACCATTCCACAAACAGGACCCTGGCAGAGTAGAAATACTGACCAGGAAGCCTGTTACAGAATGAGAAAATCCGTAAGAAAGCATGTCTTATTTTTTACATTACAAGGGGAAAAAAAGTTATACATTTAAAGTCTTACAGAGATGTTGGTAGTACTACTTGAAGTAGAACCCATTATATTCTTACCTTTTAAAGCAAACAAAGTAAGCTTAAGTCATCATGATTTAACATATTAATGCCACAAAAGCTAAACAGACTTTTGGGCAAATTATTCATAACAATTAAACTGGAGCATGCAACCCTACCAGTTCACGAGAGCAACCCATTTTTCACTTGTAATTTCAATTTTTAGTTTGTATTATTATTCAGAACAACCAATAAAATTACTCTTTTTAGTTAAAAAAAAAAAGGTAAATTCTTAAATAAATACACTCCATGAAAAATGTTTCCACATACCCAATTAACTACTAGTTTAAACAGGCTGAAGAGCAAAGAGCTCCATATTAAATCAACATTTTAATAAAACATTCTTAAAACAATAGCATTCCTTTAAAACAAAAACACAAGACCAAACAAACAAGAAAATCCCAAGTAATAAAATTCACATTTTAAATTAGATGCTACCATTGACTATTATGGCAAAGGTCCCCAAATACAGGTGTCAAACTGTAATGCTACTAACAACAACAACAGAGGCTCTTCACAAAGCAGTAATATTGCATATTCGCATTAAACACCCCTTCAAACGGTTTTTAAAAGAAAGATCGACAGAAACCAGCCATACCTTCAGCTATGGCGAAACAATAAACACGTCTGTTCATGGTTTACACACACAGCACCCGAAACGCTGCACGGCTACACCCCGAGTCATTTTATAAGCCAGGAACCTCCAGCCCATCTCCACTCAACACACACAA